CGCAGCGCTGCCTCCTCTGCCCGGGCAAGCGGGCTCCTTTCCACCCCCGGCGGCTCTTCCCTCGCTCGCCCCTCGTTTGCCACCCGGGGCTGGGAGCCCTGCAAACACCCCCCTTCCTCCCAGGACGTAGAGATGCGGGCTGGTCTCGGGGTATGTGCCCCCCCCTCCCCCTTTCGGGCCGCGGTGCTGCCCGGTCCCTCCCGTGCGGGCCGGGCGGGAGCCGGACGGCCCCTCCCGGGGAGCCCCGGGGTGGTTACCTTCGGGGAAGACGGCTCGCATTTTCAGGTAGCTGGTGGTGAGGCGGATGATGGACGCCTTGTCCAGCTGGGAGGTGATGGCCGAGGGCAGGGGCAGGAGTTTGGCCAGTTCGTAGAATTCTCCATTTTCTTTTTCCCGTCTAGTCTTTGCCGCGTTCTTGGATTTTTCCTTCATCGCGACTACTGCAAGGCGAAGATGACACTGGCATATTAGACCCGATTCTTCCGAATTGCAGGGGGCATGGATTTCGGCTTCAGAGTTAGTATTTTCGTTTAAAGAAGGGAGGGAGGGAATTCACCCAAATCAAATCAAATAATAACAATAAAAAAAAATGAAAAGGGGAGAAAAAAAGGGGAAAAGGGGAGGGAAAAAAAGCCAAACCAACCAAACAAAAACACCACCAACAGAAATGGTGCGAGGAGGGGGGAGGCGACCTCAGAGCCACAACCACGACAGGCAAGCCGCTCGGGAGAAGGCAGTTCTGCTGTGACCCTTCAATATTTAGCGCTTCGAAACCGAGACTGAAAGACCTACACTAACCACGGTCCTCTGCCTGAAGCTGGAATCGGATCTTCTCCTCGACGGGGAGCAAAGCACTGCGTTCCCTTCACTGAAGGATTTCTTCTACTCGATCCTTCCCCGTCCAAAAATAATAATTATAAAAAAGATTAAAAATAGAGTGTCCACGCAAGAAATCATTGGGCTAAGCAGGCTGAACCATTTCTGGACGCTTCGTCTCTTAAAAAAAAAAAAAAAAAAAAGAAAAAAAAGAAAAGGGAAGGAAAGGAGACCGCGCTGCTCGTTTAACGAAGTGCAAAATGATCTGGTCCCGGAGCCCGAGATGCCGAGGAGACGACGAGCCAGCAGGGCAGCCCCCCGCTAAGCGAAAGTCAAAGCCGGTGCGGAGGGAGCTGACGGCTGGAGGAGCGCTCCGAAATCACAAGCTCGCATTTCCCTTCAGGCGCTTCCCTCTCGGCCGGCTCTCGGCGGGCGGCGGCTGGTCTTGCTGCAGAAAGAGGCTTTTCCCCCGTCCCCGAGGGGCTGCTTCAGCGCCG